ACAAACGGGGTTTGATGTCAGTTGATCTTTGTGCCAAACTTGTCTCATTTGTAAAATAAAACCATTGGATGCAGCACTAGGTAGGCACTCAGGAGAACTGGGTTCTGTTCCCAGCTGTGCCATTTGTTCCTATGTGATTGTGGGTAAGTTACGTCCCTCTCTGAGACTGCATTTCTCCATCTGTATAATGGGGATAATACTTAACAGCTTAATTCTGACACATTCCTGTGAGACAGGGTTTCCCAATCTATGGGTCAGGACCCAAATATGGGTCACCATTACATTTCAAAAGGGTTGCCAAGTGTCTTCCCCAGGTGGCTCTGCCCTCCTTCCTCCTCCTGTTTTTGAATTGCCTTGGGTCACCAAGTCTTCCTGAATTATCAAAATGGATCCCCATCTGGAAAAGGTTGGGAACCGCTGCTTTGAGGAGTTTAACGTCTCCAAAGCACCAGTAAGAGCTAAATTGTTGGTCCCTGGAATGAATAATTGACTAATTACTGGGAGCCTGAGTCCCACAGCAGGATTAAATTGGTGTCTTGTCTTCTGGATTTTTTTGATGGGTTTAGGGAAATGGCCAGTGGATTAGCTAGCATAGTGGATCCAAAACCTGAAGCTGGGAACTCTTTGAACATCCCTCCGCCCCTCAAAAATGCTCTCTGACTGATTCTTGGGCTTGAGGCGCCCTTGTGTGGCCAGAGAAAGGAAATGCAGCATCTTCATCTTACGTGAACAAGACGGAACAAAATGCCTAGGCATGTTTGTGATAGAGATGCAGCCGTGTTAGTCTGGTGTAGTTGAAACAAAAGACAGAACTATGTAGCACTTTAAGTTCTGTCTTTTGTTTAGGCATGTTTGTGTGAGTCTTACCAGTGAGAGAGGAAGCAGCAGATTCTCACCCCCAGTTAAAGGTATTCTCAGAGCAAGTAAAACAGTCTTTGGGGCCTTGTATGCAGTCTGGAGACGACTAAGCTTATTTTGGAATTGGCTGTAGATAGAAACTGCTGGTTGTTCAGATAAAACTCCCTCCTGTCCGAGTGCATCTGAAGTCCCCTGGAGGAGTGATAACCTGGCCCCTTGACGTCAGTGGCAAAACGCCAATTAACTTCAGTGGCACCAGGATTTCACCCTTTTGTATTTAGGAACAAAATGTGCTTTGGTGAGAGCCCATTCCTCTACACACCGCATTCCAGCCATGTCTGTTCAATTGTAGCTCTGCCGATTTACATCATTGCTGAGCTGCAGAGCCCTCTGCTGTTTCCATCATAGATGGCAGCACCATGGGGGAATGTGCTGTGGCCGATAATCTTTTAGGACAGTGCAAGTTGCTTGTAGCTGCTGTTTCTTCTCTTGAGATACTGCCTGCCTTAACAAGGGTCTTAATTCTTTTTCCTGATTCCAGGTCTGAGCCGAAGATCCTGTTCTCCTACAAATGCCAAGTGGATGAGCCTGAGGATGTAGATGTACACCTCCCCCATGCCTATGCTGTGGCCAAGAAAGAGGGTGTGGATTCCAGCTTCTACTCAAACACCCAGATCGACACCGCAGCCTACTTGGATGACGTCGCTTCAATGCCCTACCACGTGGGCAGTGTCAACAGCATCGACAGTGACCGCTGGAAAGCTATTAATGCCTAAAGCAACCCAGATGCCCAGCACGATGCCACCCTCCCTGATCACACAGCTGCTAGGATGTTTATCAGAGACTGGCCCTTAGTCACTTGGTGTGGCTTTTCCCTCTTTCCTGGGGGTTTAAAAACCCATCATGGAACAAAAGAGCTCCAGCCCTCCCAGAAGGACCTTTTCTATCTTCATGTGAGAACAGCTGAGACCAGCTATGTTCATGAATATCTAAATGCTGAACCTTCCTGATCCTTTGTGTTCCAGATGTAGCTGTGACCCAAAAGATGGGCCTGGCTGGCACCCATTTCTTTCCAGTGACTGAAAACACTTATGTAACTGGGACGGGAGTGGGATTTTGAGGTGGGTGAGTTGAGATTAACTTCTCTGTGACACGTGTATGAAGCATTCAGCACATACAGAGAAAGGCACTTTCTTGGGCTGTCTTAACAGATCCCATTTCCCAAGTCATATTGTATTGTAGGAAGAGTGCTGTCTGAAGAGAGGAAAACTGGGAGAGCAGGGCTACTCCCCAATTCCAGCGGATACCAATGGAAATCATGAACTTCAGTAAAGTGAGAGTTACTAGGAGTGTTATGGGTGTTTATGGGAGAAGGCATACTGATGAGTGAACTGCTAAATGTGCCCTGTGACCATTACAGGGGCACTGTCTGGCACGACAGCTGTATCCGGGGTCAAAGAAAGAGACTTTTAAAGAGCCAGCATTACTATCTCTAGGAGAGACAGCGGCTATGGGAGAGTCTCTGAAGACCATGCTGCTCAGCTGTCCAGCTGCTGTGCAATTGAACTCATACTGTGAACTTGTGGTGACAAGTCACTGTGTTTTACACTGAATTAGGGTTACATTTTAAGAATAAAATTGGCCAAGTGTGAGTTTTTCAGATCTGCACTCTGCTTTACAATCCTGACTGAATTCAGAGCTCCAAAAGGGCTGTAAAGGAGCAAGCTGGCTCTGAAGATGAAGGCTCCAAATGAGTTCAGTTGGTTGAAGCAGAGTAGAAGTCCCACATGAGTCCTGTCTGCCAGTGACCAATAACTGGTGAAGCCACAGAGTGCTAGGATCAAGGCAATTAGTGGTTTAGGTTGGGTGGTAGATGGGATGGAGGCAGGCAGGCAAACTGCTATAATTTCTATGGCAGCGTCCGTCTCCTGGACCTGTGTTGCATTACAGCTTGCACCCTAGCACAGTCACATTGGCTTCAACAGATTTTATAGCTAGATGTATTGAACCTAGAACATGGTTCTTTTAAAACTACCCAGGACCTGTCATTAACCTCTTCATGATGAAAAAAAAATCTGGCCTGGCTTTCCTGGACTTCATTATGGACCTAACACATGGTTGTTCCACTGAAAGCTGCAGATGCCGGTCTTGTGGTACCTGTGTAGTTGATTTGTATTCATTGTTGGCAAATACATTTCTGCCTGAAGTACTGGGGAGTGGAGGTTCAAATATAAATGGCTGCATTCCATTAGAGATAACAGAGTGAGAACATTTTCAACATTTCAGGATTTTGTGTGTATTTCTCTTATGTGTTTTCCTTGTGCCTGGCAGCCAAAGAAAGTGGAAGAGACAAAGACTGTAGGAAATGCTCACCCTAGTGTGGTAGTGGTTTGAATTGTGAGAAAGTAGGGTGCCAATGTGGCACAGCCAGCTTCTGAACGTGTCCAGAGTGGGAAAGGGAAAACACCAGAAGTGAGAACTGGAAGCTAGTACAGGTCTTTGAATCCATGCAGGCACCTCATTTCCTCTTGTTAATGATCAGCGCAGCCTGTCTATGGGCAAGAAGTTCTGCTGCCTTCATATTCTGTCCTCCTGATCTGTAGGCAGTGCTGTGATGTGAAGAAAAAGAGGATTTAGTTTATTTTTAAAACTTTTATCTACTTTTAAAAAGAAAGTATTTTCTGATTGATCCAGTGTTTGGGTTGAATTTTTCATGTAGCTCTTCAGAGCCTTTTAAATGCCCTCTGTCTGCAATGACGCTGACAGGTGGCGGCTGAGATTGTGTTTTTCAAGCTACTTGGCCAGGTTCAGCCTTTTCCACATTTTCCTATCATTGCAGATATACATTCAGTTGCACTGGTATTAGCAATGTTGTGGGAGCATAGGACTAAGGGTGCTTGAAACATTGCATCTGTGGGTAGAGTTAGAGGGCATGTTCCCTGAAATGCTGGTGGCCTCCTGCTTTCAGCATGGTGGCTGTTCCTGAAGTTGAACCAGCTTAACAAAAATTACCTAGGATGGGCTGGGCTTTGCACACTGGTTCAAGAGTATCATGCTCTTGTTTGTCTAGACATATCCCATCCCAAGGAGTAAGGGCTGAGACACTTCAAGACCCTGAAAATGAGGACTTGCTTGTTCCCCTGGGTGATGTGAAGAGCAGACTGAATGCAGCCTACTCTAAATCAAATGCCGAAGGGTCATCTGGGCACATGTTCAGTGTGTCCATCAGTTCCCCTTCTCCAAGACTCAGTGTTTCCTCAAGTTAAATATAGTCTCTGAATGTCCCACATTTGTCTTTTGCTGAGGAGCTTCTGTAGTTGATATAGGACCGATCTTCCCTCTGTTGTCTTTTTATGTTTGTTATGCCTTTGAGGCCAGCACATAATATGTATGGTCCATGAGCAGAAGTGTGTTTGTGTGTCTGGGGGGACTGGGGAGATTAAAAACAGAGTAATGTATATTTTTGTTTGTAAAATAAATAAAATTAAGTTTGGCATAAACTGTAACACCTTCTCAAATCACCCAGGCTGTACAGATGTTCTTCAGAATCCTTTTAAAAACTAATCTGCCATAGTGTAATGTATCATACCCTTTTCAAAGGGAAAAGCTGTGATGGTTTTTTTTTTTTTTTTTTAATAATCTTTCATTCGAACAATAATCATCTAACAGTATGGAGCTGAAGTGACAATGATCCCTAATTCCAAGTAATTAAGTCAATTAAGACTTCAGCTATCCTGCTCTTCTTCCTCCTGGTTCGGAAGAGTGGGATACTTGGAACTTCTTTGTGCTGCACGTTCTCCTTACCTTGTCTCAGACTTCATGCAGCCGTCAGAGCTGGCGAACATTGCTTTTGAGCTGGCCAGTTAGGTTACTCCAGAATAGATCAGCTTGCTAGTAGATGTCCTCTAGGCCTTAGCCACCTTCCACCACAACTCCATCTTCCACAGCACTACTCTAAACTGAGCAGCCTCCCCACCACTGTCTGTGCATTTACTATTTCCTCTGCTGACACCATCATTTTGTTTTCACCTCTTCCTATCTTGAGTTTCACAGCTCCCTTACCTGTGTTCCAGCTGTCCAGACTCTAGCTTGTGCAGAATGTTGCAGCAGCCACTTCCTATAACAAAGCAGATTGGATTGTATGCTCATTGTTCTCAGCCCTATTAGAGATACATTAATTTTTAAAATCCATTTAATGAAAACTTTTTAAAAAATAATCTCCATCACTTTTCTGTAACTGATATCATGGACCCTTGTGCTCTCTGTTCCTTCCACCTCTTTTGGGCTTAGATGATACCCTGCGCTCACCTTTCATGGGGCCTTGATGGACTCTTTGGACTGATTGGCTTCTTCTTGGAGGGGAGGGGAGTTATCTATGCAGTTGCTACTTCTGTGTTCCTGGTACTGCTGTTTCGGTTCTGTCAACTGTCCCCTGCCATGCAGACAGGCTGTGAATGCTATGTTGCCTAGCAACCATCACTGTAGGGATAGTTCAATGGCCTACTCCCCTCTGTCACATCCAACATCTGGCAGTGGAATAAGGCAGGGGGTGAGTGCCAGGCATCTTCTGATTTTTACATCTAACAGCATTTGAATTCTCATGCCTCTACTAGGGCAGTTGCATAGATAAGATGGCTACTCCATGGTAGTGTCAAGCAGCATGGGTAGCACAGAAGAATCACCCAAATAGTGGCCAGGAATTAAAAAGTGCCTGGTGGTAGAGCTAAGAGGGGCCCTTGTGACTCTACCCTGGGGCTGGATCAGATCCTTCTGCAGTAAAATCTGTTCGTGAATGGAGGGGTCTTAGAAGGCAGAAATCTTTGTAAACATCCCTTCACCAAGTTCCTCCTAGATGTTTCCATTGGGAGATGGCAGGGATTGCCCCTGAAATTTCAGATTAACTCCCAGGTGGCTGTTTGTGGGGAGGGTATTTTTGAATGCTTTGCTTTCTGTACAGAGGCAAGTAATGTGCCAATATTTGGATTATGTTACATAATCCAGCAATCATAGTCATGGCCCATGACTCTTGTGCTGCATGCTACATGCTACACACTCAGGAAAAAATATGATCCCTGCCTCACACAGCTAACAATCTAATGGGCCTAGATTTCTGCACTTGGATCCACACAGAGACACCCTGGTGTTTGTCTGAAGCCCCATTGTTGGATTGTGACTGCAGTTTTCATATTTATGAAATGAATAATATTGGCTTTACATGGACACCTCTGTCTTGAACGAATAGTGAGTAAAGAGGCAAGCCATATATTAAGAGGTTTTACTTCATATCTGTAAGTGATGAATTAACTTCTGAAAATTAGGAAGGTCAAACAATAGGTTAGACTGTGTGGGGTGCTTAAAACTTATCTAGGGAAGAGCACCATTGAAAATAACAAGTCTATTAGCCACCACTCTGATCAATCTGCTTGTATATTTTTAGACCTTTTCCACATCATTTATCTGCCTTTTCTGTTTGGATTTTAAGTCCTTTGAGCCAAGGTGCCTCTCTTACTATGGATTTGTACAGTGTCTTGTACAAGGGGGTGCTCTGCTCCTTGTTGAGACCTCTCTCATTCACTGTCATACTTACAACAAAAAGCAATAATTTATTAGGGTATATCTACACAGCAGGGTTATTTTAGAATAACTGATGAAAAGCTGATTTTACGAGGAGTAAGGGAAGTTGAAGGAAGTGTGTGCTTCCTTTGACTTTCTGCTGAATTAAGCTATTTTGACTTCAGCTGCACAATTGATGTAGGTGAAATTGTGTAGCTTATTCCGATTTTACCTGCTGTGTAGATGTGCGTTAGAGCCTTGCTGAACCAAAATAGGTGTTAGGTAAGGAGAGCTATCTTGAACCACAAAGCATTATCTAAAATTGGTGATTAAAAACAAGCACTAATTGCAGTCAAAAAATTGCATGAAGTGAGTTTTAAGATGAAATTGAATGGCGGAATGCCTCCAGGGATGCAGGTTGGTGGTAATGAAGGACTCCCTTGAAATGGAAAGAAATGCCTGTGCTTGAAAAAAAGGAAACTGGATTGAATGATCAAGTTGATGGGAGTGTGATAGCTGACGTCTCCCTTTCTAGACATTTTAGAGGCATAAGCTCACAAACATCCCAAGAATATTTCAGGACCATACAGTCCTCAAGGTAGCCACTTTGCAGGCATTTCCTGTCACATTCAAGCAACAGTGTGGTTGTGTTACTCTATCACCATCAAATCTGCTGAATCCAAAGCAATCTCTGGGAACTAAGATATGAGCATCCTGCTCTCCATTCTCCCTCCTGCCCTCCATGAGATGATCTCTTTTTTCTCTTTTGTTTGGTTTTTGTCTAGAGAAACTTGAGTTATTCTATCAAAGACGATTTATGAGGTGACTTCTACTTGACCACTCTAAATACCTACGTAGGAAAAATATTTCTGGTAACAGAGGATTCTTCAATCTAGCAGAGAAAGACATAACCAGATCCAATGGCTGGAAGCTGAAGTTAGATAAATTCAGATGAGAAATATGGTGCAAATTTTTACCAGAGAGGGTAATTAACTTTTGGAACTATTTTGCTGAAGGAGGTGGTGGATTCTCCACTAGGGAAAGTCTTTAATGTTAAATAGCTTTAAAAAAAAGTTAGATGCTTTAGCACAACCAGAAATGATAGTGTTGATACAAAAATTACTTGGTGAAATTCTCTGGCCTGTTACGAAGGTCAGACTAAATGATCATAATGGTCCCTTCTGGCCTTAAAATAGATTACCGGTAATCCAATATAGGGTTGCCTGGTGTCCAGTATTTTCTATTTTTCTCGGATGGACATTGGGACATTCCTCTCCTGCCACATCTGGTGGGGGAAGTGGGCTGGGATTTAAAGGCAAAGCAACCCTTTTTGGTGCAATTTTTATTTATTTATTTTTATTTTTGCTCAACAAGTTTGGTCCTTTTTTTTTTTTTTTTTTCCCCTCAACCAATATTTTCCCCAACATGTTCGGTATGTTTTGTGAAAGTATCTGGCAACCCCAATCCGATCAATTCCAAGATTAACTATCGTTGAAATTAACTCAACTCCACATTACCATCCCCATATCAAGCCAGGTCAGGCTAAGACTTAAACCAGATTCACCCCAGCATGAAAGAAAACCAATGAGAAGAAACTAGAGCAGATCAGGCAGATTTATCTCAGACTGGGGAAGTGAGTGGGGTATAGAAGGTAAAGCATACAAGTATGTGACTGACTTCTGTACCATATCCTACCTATGACATTTGAATTAGGCAGGCATCCTAAGATAGGTTTTCTTTCTTTCCTCTCCCTTCTCTTCTTTTGTGTGCATTTGCCTAAATAGCAGGACTCATAACAAGAATTAGCATAATGCCATTAGCAGACTGAAATATTATTTTCCCCAATAAAGCCTTGCTAGTACCAGCAAGAATCTTTTGAAATCAAGTTTCCCTCTGAAAGTCTTTGAATGTGAATCAAATATGAAGGGGAACTTTCCTAGAATGAATAACCATTTAACTTTGAATTCCAATCATTTTAATGTTTTTCTCTTGCTTTAAAAAAAAACCCAAACATTTGGAAGGATTGTCATAGTGTGGTCAGAGTCCCTTTTACACAAGCACCTGAATCCACAATTAACTTTCACATTTAAACAAGAAAACACAGGTTCTATTATCATCTTAGCAGAACCTCATACCACTCTATCACAACATAACACAATGGTGATTTGTTGGTTCATATATTTAATCTCATTAGTGGTACAATAATGAAATAGGCATATCTTGCCAACTGCATATTACATTTTATTGGTGCTGTGTTAATTAACTATATTCACAGAGTAAAATGCACTAAATTAAGAAATTGAGATTCCAAGTTCTATCATTGTAATACCAAGCGTTTCTCTTGGAACAAATCCAAATTGCCTTCTGTAAAAACCTGTTAATATGTCTCCAAAACAAAACAAAAAAATCTTCTTGCAAAATTATCTTCATAAAGTCTTGTGTATCTAGATTCTAAGATCTTTAGAATCACCCAGTAGCCTATAACCACGAGTTAACTAGATACCTGTAGATCAAATGATGGCATATTTTCTTCTCCATTTGTTGTGGTGTAATAGGACTGACTCTTGCTTGCTGTACTTGTACACCTGATCCACATTTCTGAAAAAGTAAAAATCTTCTGGATGCAAGGCAGCTCGCTCTTAGGCTGGATATTTGGATGATCACACTCGTTGTCCTTTGTGTGTCCCTAATGTACACTGGGCTGTCTGTTTTATTAATATTTATGATACATTCAGAAGATTTGGATTAAACTGTCAAATTATTCACCATATATTTTAGGCAATGAGGGTACTTCTACACTGGGGGAGGGGGATTCCGAAAAACTCTGCCGCATCCAAGGAACGCGTTTGCTCTTCCGCTTTTTTTTCCTGGAAGAGCAAACATGCTCTTTCGGGGAGCCCTGTATTCCTCGTTCTGCAAGAGATAAGGGCTTGCCAAAAGAAAAGGCTTTTCCACCATTTGGCCCCATCTAGACTGGGCCAAATGGCGGAAAAACCTCTTCTGGAAAAGTGATTGGAAAAAGCTATGCAAATTGCAGCAATTTGCATAGCTTTTTTCCGAAAAAAAACCCTATACTGTAGTGTAGACCTAGCCTGAGAGATTTGCCATTGTTTTCCATGGACTGATAAAGGAGTAGTAATAACTTGCATTATCTAATTAGCTTAACATTACTGTGGACTTCAACAAATATCCCACATCTAGCGATGCCTCCTATAAAAGTCCCCACAACTGCTTCTGTATAGGTTTATTGAGGCAGTGGCTTTCAACCATGCCACACTACTGTATTCTTGTCAATAGTCTGGTTTGTCTTGCATACCCCGAGTTTCACCTCACTTAAACTACTTGCTTACAAAATCAGACACAGGTGTCACCTCACACCATTACTGAAAAATGGTTTATTTTTTACCGTATATTAAAAAACCAATTGACTGGCGTGTACATATTGCCCTTACATTTTGATGTTTAATATAGAGCAATATAAACAAATGATTGTATGAAATTTTAGGAAGAACTGATTTCATAGAGCTTTTTATGTAGCTTGTAAAACTAGGCAAAATCTAAAAGTTGATAAACTCTGGAAAATCTCTGCATTAAACCCAATAGTACATGTTTCTCTGACTGAGAACCACTGCATGGTTCCATAATTTATAGATAGAATGACATGGAATCTTAGCTGCTTTGTGGAATCATTCTTTGGGTGATGGAGGCTTTTTAATAGATTAGCTATAAAGTTGGAGTTTGCTTTACAGCCTTAGCTGAGAGCCAGCTGCCTTGATAGTTCAAGCCATAGAGGTTCATGCACTAAGCTCTAGAGGTCCAAAGTATGGTTTTGCCTGTTGGTGATATGCTGTCATACAGCCCCAGATACTGCAATCAAGAGACTAGATAAGAGCAGGCCCATATGCAGGGTGCAAACACACTTCCCAGGATCCCTCAAGTAAACATGTTCTGGCCAGCTGGGGGAAGGCAGGAGCAGTACGCTGCCCCACCCCCCTCCCCTGTGCTCCAACCAGCTGGGGGAAGGCGGGAGGGGCGCACTGCCCACGCCTCCCTTCCCTGTGCTCTGGCTGGCCAGAGGAAGGCTGGGGCTGATTTTCCTGCCCCCTCACCCCAGGAGCTAGGTCGGGTAGGGCTGGGCATCTGGGGCTCTCCCTGCAGCCTTCTGCCCCTGTGGTCAGCGAGCCAGCACCAGGCACCACTTCAATGCCATACCCGCGTAGGGTGGGGCAGGGACTGCTTGTGCTAAGGAGCTTCAAAGGCAAAGGCACCGTAAGCCCCATGTATCCCCTCCTCACAGGCCAGGTCCTGGGGAGCAGAGCTGCAGTCACTGCTGCTGCTTGCTCTCTTCTGAGCTACTGCCTGTCCTTGGGACACAAGTATGTGTCACTCCAGAGACCACCCAGAGCCACACTGCGAGCTGCGCTTCCTCTCCGGTGTGTCTTCATTCCCAGGGCTCTGCAGCCCAGCTGTGTGGAACACCCCTCTCTCCTGTTCTGGTTGGTGGGATTCCGTGTTTTCCTCTGCCCTGCCCATGCCCATGCCCAGCATTGCAAGTCCTACAAAGCCAGGTCCTGTTCCTAGTAAGGATGTTCAATAACAATTAATTTACTAGTTGAGTAGTGGATGGAATTTCCATTGACTACTTGACTATTTGATAGGCACTTCCGCATTTCTCCTTTGAAATGTATAGGAGTCCCCGGGCTCTTGCGCATTTCAAAGTGGAAGCGCCCACATGGAGCCTGGGGTCAGCGGGGGACTCAGAGTTCTATGTGGCAATGCCGCTTTGAAATGCCATGCGTTTTTAAATGCTGCACTGAAGCTTGGGATCAGATGGGGAGTCCCCAGCTAATCCCAGGTTGCATGGAAATGCCATGCAGCGCCCAGGTTCAGCTGGGGACTGACGCCAGGCTCAGCATGGCATTTCTGCAGAACCTGAGATCAGCTGGGGACTCCCCTGCTGACCCCAGGCTCTGCATGCTTTGAACTGCTGTGCTGGAGCCTGGGATCAGCGGGGGAGTCCCCAGCTGACCTCAGGTTCTGTGGAAATGCCCTGCAGAGCCTGGGGTCACCTGGGGAGTGTTTCAAAGGGACAGCCCCGCACAGAGCCCAGGATCAGCTGTGCGGCACTGCCCCTTTGAAATGCTGCCCAACGTTTCAAAGCTGCAGCCTCTGAGTGGAGCCCAGGGTACAGGTTCTGTGCGGTGCTGCCACTTTGAAATACTCCCTCTTTTCCCCCCTTTGCTGCCTCTATCTGACTAGTGGAAATCGACTAGTCAACTCAACTATCTGATAAGCAAATGCTTATTGGATAGTCGACTGGTCCTTAACATCCTTAGTTCCTAGTCCCCGGGGTTCTTGTTTTGCACTCCAGTAGGCCCTATTACACCCGTTTTGCAATGTAATGTCAGTTAAAAGTGTGCCATCAGAATCAGAAATGATCACAGAAGTGTGCTCTGGTTTTGCACGTGCAATGAAATGCCAATTAGCCAGTCTCGGCCTCTAAGGCTACGTCTACACTGCAATGCTATTTTGGGATACCAGAGTATCCTAAAATGGCTGTCCTGCATCTTTACAGCCAGCCCTTTATTTTGAAATCTAATGGGCTTGTTATGTCGGCATCCCTGTAAACCTCATTCCACGAGGAGTAAGGGATGTTTCGGAATAACTGGCTATTTTGAATTTAAATTACAAAATAAGCTATTTTGAAATACAGTTGAAATAAGATATGCAAGTTGCATAGCTCAAATTGCATATGTTATTTCGAGCTATGCTGCAGTGTAGACTCATCCTAAAATACCAGAACATACAGCACCAAAAGACCCAAACGCTACATTAACTGTTAAAAGCTGCAATGTTTGAGTTCGTTGCCTTAATGTGAGTTAAAACATTGTTCAGGTGCCAGATTTTCAAAGAAGGCTGCAAAGCTCCCATGTTTGCAATTGGCTCCTAGCTATTTGTATACATGTACAAATTATCCATGTTGCAAAGGCATTTAATTATTTTTTGCAATACAACAATGGATACAGTAAGTTCATACACATGTTTACAGAATAAACCTGTTGCCTTCTCCTTTGGAAATGAAGCCTTAAACGAAATAAATGGTGTGCAATTTGATCACTGTATGCACAGAATACCTACTAGTTAACATGCGTTCTACTAAACCGTGTGCAACTAAAACTATTGTTCATCTACAGGTACATGTTGTAAGACAGACACTGAGGTTTGCTAGGTCTCTGCAAAAAGATGCCATTTGACCCAAACAGAATTCTGTTTTCAACCTTCCCCAATATTGAAGCGAGGAGACTTTTAGGTGGCAGTGCAGCTTGAAGCATTACTAACATCAAATTTCCAAATCATGATGTTGGCTTAAAAATAATTAAGATTTAAATGGGGAGGGGAGGCTGGCTTTTAATTTGCCATTTGGTGTTAGTGCCTTTAGGGTTCAGGTTTTTCAATTTTTTTCTTCAGCAATAGTAGCTAGAAACCAATCTTCTTTCTACCTGAAAGCTGATATTCTCTTGTAATCACATGAATCCAAGAACTTTAAGAACATCAGATAACACGAGACTCACAATAAAACCATGAGAGGTGGCAACTTGGATTAAAAATCAAGGCACCCTCATAAAAGCAATGGGCATTCTTTATGACAATGATAATAGCTTAAGTGGGAGCCTTACTATATTTTGCATTTATTTGAAAAGGATATAAAAATATCATCAAGTGTCTTGACAACCACACTCAATGGAAGTGGTCAAACTGAGCTCAGCATGCTGTGTTTCCCCTCTGCTGCCCCCAAATATTACATACTCCAGGTGGGTCTGAGTTCCAAAATTGCCAAAAAAAATTTCAAATGAAATAGCTATGAACAATGTGTGTAAGAAAAGGTACCAAGTGAAATTCCATCTAAATCACTGTGATACAGGAGAGAAGGCAACCTTTTATACAGTGAGCACAAAGAGAAACAAGGTGGGTGAAACAATATTTTATTGGACCAAATTCTGTCTGTCTCTAGTATAATGGGACCACACAACTACAACTGTGCTGCACAACAGCAAGAGAAGTAAGGGGACAACATTCAGAAAGAGAAGAGGTAGGATGAATATCAGAAAAATCTTTATTTTTATGAACTAGCTAATTCTTCTAACATCCCTATGTATTCAGTAATTTCTTTATATTTCAAAAGTATAGGCACCCACCCAGTGCTCTTGATGGCTGTACCATATATTAACAACTTAAACCAATACTTAATTGGGGGGCCATGGAGATGAGGTGTGTTCACGTCCTTGCAATTCACATTTTGGGGAAAAAAGCACACAATACCCTCGAAATTCCTGCATATGGGCCTGAAGAGCCCCCATTTTAAATTAATGGAAGTTTATAAGACCTTGTAGGGATGCAGAAAATCCATGCAAGTGAACTGAAAGGCTAAGAATTCTGAAGACAAGCAATAGCCCAACCAACTACTTATTTAAAAAAAAAACCTCAAGTTATTATTTTGGAGGCCTACCCAGCTCATGATGTGGAAAGCTTGGGGGATCACAGTATTGTTCTACAGCAGAGCTCTACTCCTCTGGGAAGGTTGGGGGTTGCCTACCAGGGAGCTTGTGGGAGACTAGGACCTCAAGCTCAGCCTCTAATACCCAGTGGCTAATTCAGGCCTGAGAAAAGCTTTCAGTAGCTAGGCTAGGCCGTCCCGCCCCTCTCATGCCCGTTGCTTTCCTTGGTTGGCTCTCTAATTCAACCCTATCCAGAGAGAGCCCTTGGCGGAACATCCCCCAGCACCAAACTACATTTCCCAGCCTGCGCCGCGGGCCAACGCCAGCAACATATCTCTCCATTGGCTGCTTCCTTGCCAGCCACCAATGAGACGTGGGTTTGTTGGTAGGCGGGCTAGGGAGAGTTTGTGTAGCTGAGGAGGCTTTGCCCCAGCCTAAGTGTGGGGCACAGCGGGATAACTCCGGTCCAGCCCCGCCGGCATGGGGGGCAGCGAGAGCAGCTACGGGAACAGGAAAGTCTCCTTCGGGCTGGATGAGCAGGAGCGAGTGCGGGTGCTGCAGGGCATCAGGGTGAGCCGGGCTGGGTCTGAGAAGGCAGCTGGCTGGAGAGGCTGTGGGGGCGGGAGAGGGGCTGGGGATGAGAGGGAAGCTTGGTGGGGGAGGGGCCTTAGGTGGGTGGAGTTGGGGTGGAGGAGAGGGGCTGGGTGGAGTAGTAGGGGGAGCGGTGCTGGGACTAGGGAGCGATAGCTAGCTATGGAACTGGTCTGTTTTTAGTGAGATACAAGGTATTCCTCCACCTCCCCCCCCCCAGCTGTTTAATCCATTTTGCACTCTGGTTAGAGAAGATTTGACATTAAAGGCAGGAGGTGGCAGCTGAGATACTGGCTCAGAGAGCATCCAAGGGATGAGACCAACACCATTTAATTAATATCACCTGGACACTATAGTGAATGGTGCAATGTAGATACTGTATATAGGGGCATAGGAGTTGAGAGTGAAGATTAAAAGCATCTCCAGTAGTATTGGGCAGGGAGTGGTTAAAATTGGATCTTAGGAAGGCAGCCCCATTTGCCTCCTCATAGCATACCCTAAAGGTACAAAGGCTTCAGAGGGGTAGCCAAGTTAGTCTGTAACTGGAAAAAACAACAAATAGTCTAGCAGCACCTTGAAGACTAACAAAACATGTAGATGGTATCATGAGCTTTTGTGGGCACAACCCATTTCTGTGCCCACAAAAGTTCACGATACCATCTACATGCTTTAATAAAAGATAGGACTATGCAGCACTTTAAAGACTAACAAGATGGTTTATTAGGCGATGAGCTTTCGGGGGCCAGACCCACTTCCTCAGATCAAATTGTGGAAGAAAATTGGCATGACCATATATACCAAAGGGATACAATCAAAAAAAAATGTGAACATGTATAAAATTGACAAATCAGATTTTAGAGCAGGAGGTGTAGGGAGAGGGGAGGTTAATGTCTGAGATACTGTCTTTTGTTTCAGCAAGACCACACTAACACTGCTACGTCTCTATTACTAATCTACATGTTTTGTTAGTCTTTAAGGTGCTGCTAGATTAGTCATTGTTTTTAAAGTTTTCTTTGAGCTACAGTTGGTCATGTCTCTAGGTTGCATTTTTCTCTTTTGTATTTGTCTCCTTATTTCTTTACTGTTACTTGACTTTTTTTGCAATTTTGCATTATTTCCTTTGTGCCAGTTGTATCCCCTTTGGCTGCCTATTTGCTTAGCTCAGTGTGAAACGGCCTGCTGAGTGAGACTAGATAAGAATGTTCATATCTTTCCAATCATAAGGATCTGACTAGTGTTGTTTTAGATTCCTGTTGCAGATCTTTGATATAGAGTAGAATCTAAACCTAATCAATTTTCTCTATGCTGCTGTTTAGCTGGGCCCATTTAGTGTTCAGTTCCATGAACAAACTACACAACAAAATGAATTGCCTTGTTAATTTTATGTTGCTGCTCAGCTGAATGTGGTTGAATTAAAGAAAATTGTTGATTCATGGTTATTGGTTCATTCCATTGATCTCTAGGAGTTGAGGTTAAATGGAGGGAGCCCTGATATTTGTCATTATAGGAGCTCACGCTAAAGGAATGGGGACCTCCCTAGCTCATTCATTTGAATTACAAAGCTGAATCCAGTCGCAAGCTTTTATTAAATGAAATAGGCTTCATCACTCTTGGAACTCTAAGGGAATTACTTTGTTTTTTACAAAAACCTCAGATGCTTTATAACTAGTGTTGACAGTTCATTTTCTTTCAAGGAAGTACACCCACTTCTGTAGAGTTGATAATTTTGTCCTTGTCATAGCTAAAACATCATAATTATCTATCTCTTTTTTTGCAGTGCATGTTGTATGTCTGGAGCTGTGTTCCCAGGGATCTGCTGATAGCCTACTGTGTGTGTTTCATTTATAGCAGAAGGGAATAGAGTTGAAGTCTTAAGACCAAACTGACTATCACAATATGCAATCAAGATGTTAACATGCTGCTTATTTTGGGTACTAGCAGCAAATTTAAAATCTATATTCTGGTTTATGCCCTGAAGTGTGTCCATGGGACACTGAAATTGAGTACCCTTCAATTTTGTCCACTAGGGAGGAGTGGCTAGTACAAGATTAAATCAGATAACTCAGAAGAAGTGTAAATAAGAACAGGTAAATCAAAAGACATGTAAGCCCTGTCTATGCCATCAAAGGCAAGGGCAGAAAGACACTTGGAATTGAATTCCCAGGACATTTTTGCATGTATTTTCTACTTTGCCAAAGTATGAGATAAGACACATTTGTCCCTTCCATTTCATTATTGTTTTGTGAAAAACTCTTCCTAGACTTACAAAAGTATGAACTGAAGATCTGCTAGATAATGATCCTTCCCTGCTCCTCCCACCCTCCTCCCACACTGTGTACAGGATTGTTCCTTATAGCTTGTTCTTCAGTTCTTTGTCCAGTCTAGCCTTAGACTCGGTTACTGGAACTCCATAACTTCCTGATGTGATATATTTTCTAAATGTGAATTGAACAACAGATACATTGATCTGAAATAATGTTTTAAAATAACATAAGCAGAATTAAAAATAATTACCTGTTGGTGACTCCACTTAATAAAGAATAAAAATCAAGAATTGACTCACTTAACATCTCCCCAACAAATTGCTCTAGCTCTCTGAAGATGTAGTGAATCGAATGAAGGAAACTCCTCAACTTAAAGGAGACCAGAGACCATCTTCCTTTTCTTCTTCATCCTATGACACTGCATCACCACCACAAGCTGCAGAAGGGAAACCCAAGTCTACTACAGGTATTGTCAGATTGTGCTGTGTCTCCAGTCTAAAGTTTTGATACTTGGTCACTGAGGCCTGGTCAATGCCATTATACTGTAACAAGCTTGTACCTTGTTATGACATTCTTGTTATGATAAGTGGCACTTCCACCTGTGTGGGTATCAGTGTGACTATACCTACTGAGCATTCATATTTCAAGAAATATTTTTTGGGGGAAGGGAGTGAGGAAGACTATGTTGTATGTAACTAGAATAGCTGGGAGCCCTGGTTTCTGTTTCTGGCTTTGCCAGTGCATTCTTAACAAATCATTATCTGACTTCGGTTTTCCCCATGTATTAAATAGTAGTAATACCCATTTCATTAAATATTTGTGTGACTTCATTATGCGTGATAAAGTTCTTTTGTGATCTTTGGATGACCGGTGTAGTAGTAATTCAAAGTATTTCTTGCAACCACATTCCTATAAGAACATTAGTCATATCAGCTCCTTTCGTTGGACAGGAAATCTGCCGTACATGTGTCATGTTGTTGTTCAAGTTCAGAAGAGAAAAATTTCATGAGCTGATGCTGGCTATTACTAGAAAGCTGAGCTTTGCCAGTTTATCCTCTTCTCTGTTTAGCTGCATGTTTAATGACTTGTTTTCTCATTCAAGTCAGCTGACTCTTGTTTTCCCCTCTCATACTCAAATATATATTGATACATTTGTCATTGATCCCATAAAAGCCTTAAAAATAGTGATGCAGGGGGTTGGTAAACCATTCCTTTGCCAGAGACCAGCATTTGTTTATGGCTGAAGTCTTGTTTTAAAAGTGGGTTTAGTGGTGCCTCATCCTTGTCCGTGTTAGGGATGTAAAATCCCATTTAATTGGTTAACCAGTTAAATGAGGAGTTTAACCAGTTAAATGATTTAAATGGGAGGTGGGCAGGATCCCAGCTTGACTGGGCTGGAGCAGTTCCTGCTGTGGACAGAGGCTGCTCTTGCCAACTGGAGCAGCCCCTGCCTGTGGTGGGTAATGGGGAGCTGATCCAGCTCCTACCGGTTGCTATTTACATCCCAAATCACACTCTAATTTGATTTCTGCTTACAAAAGGCCAGTGCTGGAATAACAAAGGGAAGCAGCAGATCAGAAGAGAGATGTTTTTGCAGATTTGAAGAAAAGAGATGTAAAATAACACGATAGGATTAAAATAACATGAGTGCTTGAGGTGGGTTGGGGTGAAGGGCATTAGTATCCCCCGACTGAGAGAGCTTGTATAAAGCTCACTGTCCTTATGCTTTGTTCAAGGAAGTATTGTTAGCCTCTTACTTACATTAACACTAAATTCAGACACAACACTTTATACAAATTATTTCTTTATTTTCCTTGACTTTTTTTATTGTACTGAGTGCTCCCTTAGTAGAGTGTTGCTGATTTGTTGAGAATATTGCTCTTCCTTCAAATAATGTCCCTTCTCATGATGTGATGGTAGCCAGTGTTTTCTTCCACAGTCATCACTTACTTCTGTTCTTCTCTTCAGAAGTCCATCCACCAACTACCAGTAGCTCTGGTCGGAAGCCCTCTGAGGCAGAGGAGGACCTGTACAAAAGGTAGGGGGACACCCTTCCTGTCAGGAGACCTGTGCTTCTTGGGCCACAAATATGCTCTATGTAACGCTGTATTCTAGAGTTCATTGTGGTGATCAGTGTATATGTTGTTGCGTAGTATGCCTTTAGTAAGGTTTTAATATAGGCAAAAGGCTACTAGGCATCTTTAGTTGATAGAGTATGTGACTCTTGGGGTTGGAGACAGGTAAGGGAGCTGGGAACCAGTGGGAAGGTGTCAATAGAAACATAGACAAATGGAGTGAAGAATGCTTTCTGCTCCACCTATAGAAAATCATGCAATACATAAAATATATGTCCACTTGAGCCTAAAGTTGATTCTACCTGCTCTTGTCTCCTAAGACTTGTTGCATCCTTCAAAAAAGTCTGCCCAGACCTCAAATCTGTTGATTGGTTTAATTCTGCATATGGGTTAGAATCTCTAATTATACCTGAAAAATCTGTCCAGACATCTTCAGCTGCTTCTCCTGGTGCCTGCTCCACTGTATGTGGTGGCTGCCATCCTTTTCCACAGTGCTCTGGGGCTTTCCTGTATGGGGCATTTTGGCTTACCACGGTGTCAGTACATATAAAGGTACAGTGAGAATGAGATGACTTGTGTGAAATGTGGTCCTTGCTGTGTCTCCCACAGGAGTGTCTGTTGCTTGTTCCAAGAATGTAGAACAATAGGGGCTCCAGCTTCCCCATTGCTGGAGGGTTGTCCGTTATAAAATGGGTGCATGTGTTTTCTAGTTTCTCTAGCTGCTTTTTCCTCTTCTTTTTTTGATGTATTGACATTCTCCTTGCAGTGTGCATGCTCTCTCTGCATGTCACACAGGTCCTGCTTTGGGGACTATGAAAATGAGTCTTCAGTGCTATTGTTGGTTATTCAAGCTTGTAAATGTGGCGCATTGAACACACTGTCCACAGTTGTGTTTCTGACCTGCCTAGTGGACTCTCTGGAAAAGAGGTTCAGTTCTGTTTTTTACTGAGATATTGAAATCCGAATTGCTGGTAGTCTCTGCTCCTGTCTTACTCTGCTGTTTCTGAATAGATGCTTTAGTGAATGCTGCAGAGAAAGAAAGGGAGTAGGATGGAGGTCTGCTGTCTCTTGTGTGCTGATAAGCCTCTCTCCTTGTGCATGTGGAACTCCCTAGGTCTCAGTGGTGGTTACTTGGGCTATGTCTACACTGGAAAAAAAATCAATAACCTCTGAGTCTCAGAGCTGGGGTCAATTGAATTGGGTAATTTCAGTGTGGACGCTTGAGCTGCACTCTGGGACCCAAAGTCCTGTGATGGGGATGGGTCTTAGAAACCAATCTGCAACTCAGGCCTGACCATTTACACTGCAGTTTTTAGACCTGCAGCATATGCGCATGTCAGCTGACCCTGGCCAACCACAGCCATGTTCCATGCAGTCTTTTCTTGAGGTGTAGACAGATCTATAAATGCACTAAATTTGCTCCATAGTGGTCCTTCAGATTAAGACACATAGCCTGTGGACATCCCTCAAAGGTTGCTTCCCCTACATCAGTCATCCCACTTACACGGCAGAGGGCCCCTTCTGCCTCATAGAGCAAATACAGGCAGTCCCCGACTTACGCGGATCTGACTTACGACGGATCCGCACATACGAACGGGGCTTTCTCACCCCGGAGCTCACAGGCAGCGGTCAGCCACCTCGACCTCCGGGGCGAGAAAAGCCCCTGGTCTGCTGGGGCCCGTCTCCAGCAGACCAGGGGCACCGCGAGCAAACCCGCAGCAGCAAGAGCAAAGCCTCAGAAGCGCGGGACCCCGCCGTGGCTGTGGGTTTGCTCCCGGTGCCCCGGTCTGCTGGGGACCGTCTCCAGCAGACCAGGGGCACCGCGAGCAAACCCGCAGCAGCAAGAGCAAAGCCTCAGAAGCGCGGGACCCCGCCGTGGCTGTGGGTTTGCTCCCGGTGCCCCGGTCTGCTGGGGACCGTCTCCAGCAGACCAGGGGCACCGCGAGCAAACCCGCAGCAGCAAGAGCAAAGCCTCAGAAGCGCGGGACCCCGCCGTGGCTGTGGGTTTGCTCCCGGTGCCCCGGTCTGCTGGGGACCGTCTCCAGCAGACCAGGGGCATCGGGAGCAAAGCCGCAGCCCCGGCGGGTTTGCTCGCGGTGCCCCTGGTCTGCTGGGGGGGGCGCAGCTAGTGTGCCCCCCCCAGCAGAGCAGGCTTTTCTTGTGGACCCTGGGGCAGAGCAGCTGGGGTGCTGCTGGGTTGGTCCAGTAGCGCCGAGGAGCGGTGCTACTGGAGCAACCCAGCAGCACCCCAGTTGCTCTGCCCCAGGCGTCCCCAAGTCAGCCGTTGCTGAAACTGACCAGCGCTGACTACAGGAAGCCGGAGGCACAGTTGCTCTGCCCCCGGCTTCCTGGAATCAGCGGCTGATCAGTTTCAGCAGCAGCTGACTTGGGGTTCTTAAGTTGAATCTGTATGTAAGTCAGAACTGGCGGTCAGTTTCAGCAGCGGCTGAATCTGGACGCCAGTTCCGACTTACATACAGATTCAACTTAAGAACAAACCTACAGTCCCTATCTTGTACGTAACCCGGGGACTGCCTGTACGTAATATGGGATTGGGAGTAAAATTCGGCTGTATCGATAAAATTCTTTTTGTGTAGCCTGCATCTTATTTTTTTTAAAACAGCATTATATCTAGCTTATTAAATCTTTTCCTAACTGTTCTGTGTGACTGTCGGGGAAGAGCCAACCTTAACAGAATTGTATGTTTATGTGTTTTGTGGTCCCTTGTTTCTTGAATTGTTCATACTGAACTTTCAAGTCACGTTTAAAGTTTCCGGCGTTCCAAAGTTTCCACAGAAGCCCAAGAGTTATGAGCAGGCTATGTCCCAAGTAATCACATCTCTGTTTTGTTCCTGGCCAAGGGTAGAGCAGATTATTCATGAGCCCAATGCCAGAAGTCTGCTGAGCATCTTCTCTCTGCCTTTCGTTGGCACGGATGCAGGTATGAGCGAGAGCAGGCACTGGTCCAAGAGGAGCTGCTCCGGCTGGCCAAGAGGGAGCGGGAGTCCGCCAACGAGTGTCTCAGTACAACCCTCCAACGGGAAAAGAACAACACCAATGAAGAGAAGCAGAAAGCAGCTCAGCTGGTAGGTACAAAGCAACATATTCCTAGGCAGGAAGAAGGCCTGAAACGTTTCCCCTTTGAGGGATCAGTTGTATGCCATTATTTGTGTAATGAGTTCAGCAACTGCTGCTTAGTCCCAAATCCATGGTAATCATCACTTCATAATTCTTCACCTACCTTTTGGCTTACACTTTAATTGGCAAGTCTGTCATGTAACTAACCCTATGCTGAACTTGTGTGGGAACAGTATAACATCTGATTACATGCAGGGGAAAGCATTGTCTGTGGGAGAGTGGAGATGGCTGGGAAGAGAGCTTGCTTCATATGTAGTGTTGGAAGAGACAAGCATTGTGGCAGCCTGTGCTGGATGGAGCTTTGCTAAGCTACTGTGTGTGTGACATGGGTATTTTGATGTATATACAGAATTGACCTGACTGAGCTTTACTATATCTGGACAGTTGAGTTAAGTTACACAGACATCTGAGTAGTGAGGAGTAAAATGTCTTACAGGAACTGGCAGCTTGTTCTGAAATGTAATGTCATGAATTGCCCTGTTATAACAATATGAGGATGATGCTTGCTACAGTGAAACTAGTCCTAGGTGTCACTAGATACCAAGGTGGATATTTAGACTAGTTCACTGAGAGTGATACTACTTATTAAAATAACTGTCTAGTTGAGGCAGGGGACAAGGCTGGAAGTTGAGTTCTAGGTTCTATTTCTTTTGTTCCCTTGCTCTTTTTTCCCTTCCCCACAAAACTGATTTATTGTTTGTCTTGGATTAAATCAGAAATTCTTCTGTGCCTCCATTTTCCATTTGTAAATAAGTGTTGATATTTGCCCTTTGGGAGGGGGATAATGAGGTGTAACTTGGTTGTGAAGAACTTTGGAACAGGTAAGTATCATAACTTACTATTGAGCCAACATGCTAGCCTGCTGCCTCTTTGATATTGATCTCTCTGATGTGGCTCATACGTAATTCCTGTGAGGCAAGTGATTTCCTTTGAGAAACAGCAGAGTGCAAGAATGGGAGATCTCTCTGGTTGAAGGTTTAAATATATAAAAGGAGTTGATATCTAAGGCAGGTAAGAACTGTGCATCTGGGTGAGACATTGCAGCTGGTAGGTAGCACTTAATCCTCCTAGTGGGAATGGAATGTTTCTTTCATAAATATAATTAACACAGCTTTATAGAAAATGGCAGTGAATTAATTTCTAACTGAGGAGATGGCACTGCTCATGAGCGAAAGACTGAAGAGCTGTATAGGAGGAATGTCACTGAGGTATGTCCATATGTTTTAGTTAAGCTCTTATTGCTGGAACAAGCTGAGACCTGACATGACTTACAGGAGGTAGTCCATTTAGAACAGGGGTCTAAAACTCCCAGCCCATGGGCCAATCTGAGCTGCAGTGATTGAATGGCACCAGCTGGGGTGGAAACAGTAAGTAGGAACCCTTTTCATTATATGCAGAGTTATTTCCTTTATCTTTCTTTGTACAATACGTGGCACAATAGAGCTCTGCTGGGCAGATCCCATCCATGTTTCATAATATAGATATTGATGTCCAATACAATGGAGATGAAATGTGCAGTACCTCACAGAGGGACTGTGATACTTAATGGATGTTTGTAAATAGTTTGATCCTCACATGAAAGGTGCTATCAAATGGCCAAATACTAATGTAGCTGTTTTTATGAGCCCTTTTTATTTTAGCATGAAGGGCTAGCCGTGGAGCTTCTTGATCAACTTCTCCCTTACTCTGCTCCTTGTTTTTGCCCTGCATAGATCCACCTCTTTCCAACGCAGATACCTTTTCTTTTTCCTTTATTTCTAATGTATCACAATCTTTTTTCTTCCCTTTTAGTTCTTATATTTTTTAAAACAAAACACACCCAGCCCTTTACAGGTGAGGCTGCCCCCACACATTTCCTTAATCTGCTGGGGCCGTTTAGCATGCATCTGTCAGCCACCCAGTCAGAGGCAGTGACTTTTCAGGCTTGCTGGTTTTAACCAAAACATTTGAAACAAATCAATGTAGGATGGGGAGGGCGAGAAGCAGACTGGAAATAAACGCGATTAAGCAAAGACATCTCATTACTGCTCTAGAAAAGGAGGATTATAACCTATTTTATAGAAGGATCTCATTCAGTGGCTGTGCGTGCCAGTGTTATCAGAATAGAGAGAGAGCAAATAGAATAAATGAAATTAATACTTTGAAAAGAAGCATTACTCGGATTTGAGAACTGAACTAATATGATTTGTGCAAAGCCCTGAAGTTCTTATCTCCCTGTTTAATCCCCCCAGGATAATGGCTATGTCAGATTTATTGACCCAAAAGTCTTCTCTTCCTATGTCCTTCTCTCCCTCTCCCCACCATCCTCATTTCTCCTAAAGGGTGAATTCATAATGGGTGAGGACAGCCTCAAACCTCATATAACTGCTCCCCTGGGGGGGAAAAAAGCTGGAAGGCATTGGCTTGGTGCATGGAAGCAGGCTAGGATGGAAATAGACCTCCTCATCTGCTGTACATAGAATGGTGGCTTCTCATGCACGGTGTTCTTGGCCATGCTCTTCCAACTGGGCAGAGAATCTCTCTGATGTCCACTGGTTCTTTGTTCACTGGCATTGAAGATGAGCCTACATTGGAGTTTGGACTTGGGGGAATTGTAGTCCAGTATTGTGATATGTGCCTTCTCTAGTTGCTGAGGTAGATGGTGACTGTAAGTAATCATGGGAAGTCCAATTGTTTGGGTCTCACACTGTGCACATAAATAACCTAGTTGCTCTTCTGTTTCTTCCTGTTCTTCTTGGGATTAGAATGAGGTAAGCATGAATCTTGGTCTTGGTCATGACTGCAGTCTTGGATTTTGGAGCTCTCCTTATGACTTGCAGAATTCCAAGCTCTTGAACCTTATCTCTACTGGTAGATCTCTGAAAACTCCCATTCTTGTATAAGGATGTTAAATTTAGATTAATCAATTAATCGAATAGTTGATGCAATTTGCATTCACTATTCGATTAGTCAATAAGGGCATCTTCGCTTTTGAAATGTAGCAAGAGTTCTGATGGCTCTTGCTACATTTCAAACGTGGAAGTGCCACCACTTCCCCGCTGACCCCCTCCCCCCTCCCCCCT